AGTAGTAGTAGTAGTAGTAGTAGTAGTAGAAGTAGTAGTAGTAGTTGTAGTAGTAGTAGTATTTAGTACATTAAAAGATCCTACTAAAATAATTTAATAAAGAAAATGTGATGTTTTATGGGAGTGTCTAGAAAAAAATAGTTGACAAAGATTTTTTCAAACTATCCCCCAATATTTTTACATAGGACAGATTAATAATAATAATAACTATAAGACTGCATTGATTAAATCAGAGACTAACAGTCTGATTGTCAAGCTGAGAATTTAGTATGGCACACATAAGTATGACTGTATGATGACCAAAAACCACCTCTCTTGTGTTTTTATACTGTTGTGCCATTGTGTGGTGTAATGAAAGGCTTTTTACCAATTCCTGGGCATAAATGTTTTATTATAAAAATGAGATACAATCCTCTATAATTATTAAAAAGCCATTCTAGGTCTATAACAAATTTCTGAACAAATCTGAACAAATCCTCTTCAGCACATTGAAACCATATATTCACAAAGTACAGGATACAAATACCCACTATGGATAAGGTGAGCTTTCACTATGTGCTCTGTAAAGCAAATTGTCAATTATGATTTTCTACCTTGTTGCCACAGGAACAGAGAGATTGTTTTCTCATGCAAGGGCAAATAATTTTCAAAAAACCATGATGTTACTTCTCATTCATGGTCCAATTCAAAATTATTTGCAATGGAAAATATACATTTTCTTTTGCCATTCTCATTCTCAAAGTTCTAAATTTTTCTATGCATCTGGAGAGCTTGTTCATCTTCTCAGTCTGGGTCTAATACGGTAGATGTCTTCAATTTTTTTTTTTACTTTAAAATCTAGTGCATTTACTTTTTCTTCATTTGCCTTTCTTATTCCATCTTATTTCTCTGATCATTTAAACCTGCTTTCTTCTTTGCCTCATTTCCTCTCTCTCTTCTTTGTTCCCTTCATTTTAGGAACAAGGTCAAGGTCAGGTGTCTGGTGCTTTATTGATTGTGTGTTCCATGAGGGGTATGAACTTCCAACATACCAATATTAAAAAATGGTGGGGGATATTGAGGGTCTTTTTACTTCAATCATATACCATCCTCTGGCAACTGCAGGCACCTGCATATATGTGGTATATATACACACACACATGCGCACACACACACACACACACACACACACACACACAAATCTAAAAGATCTTAATTTAAAAGAAACATGAAGCATGAACTGGAAAGTGAATCAAGTCTCTTTCAGCTCTTCTGCCATCCTAGTGCTATTTAAAGAGATGCCACTGCGTCAAGACAGGTGCCCTTAATACCATTATAGTTTGTAGGTACAGTAATATTCTCAGTAAAATTCTATTCAAACTGTATATATGTATTACATATAATAATGATTGTCAAAAAGATTTAAAAAATACAAAATGGCCATAGCAGCATACCAAAAGCATTTCTACAATGACATGGTGTGTGTTGAAACCTCCACAAATTGTTGTCTCCTTTTAGTAATAACAAAGGAGAGCCTGGTGACACAGAAAATTGGAGGTGAAAGAGGTAGGGTCAGAAGTCCAAGGTCAGCTTCAACTGCATAAGATCCTGTCTCAAAAATGAATAAATAACTAAAATAAAAGCAATGTGTTTTATTTTCTAAAGAAATCCTTATAATATATCTCAGGCTGTCCTTGAACAATAATGGCCATTGGGTTCAAACTAATAGAAATCCTCCTGTCTCACCCTCTTAAGTGCTGAAATTATAGGCTTGAATTCCTGTCTTATCACTGAAAATAAGTATGAAATTCTGTAAGCAGCTACATATAATGGATTGTTTCTCAGGCAATCAATCAACTTAGATTTTTTGAAAAAGGCTTTCATTTTGTGTTAGTTACTTTTATGAAATAAAACATTTATCATTATCTGTTGTGGACAGCACTGTCTTGGGCCTGGTATACAATCAACACTTATGAGTCAACACAACAAAACTTCTGAGCATTTTGGCGCCTATACTTGTAGATTTGCACATGCCAAATCCTGCTTAATGCCTAACCAAATGCTGTGGTCAGAATGGCAAACAACAGCAAGAGATCAATGTCAATTTCTGTTTCAAAGCCCCTTTCTAGATTAAGTACCAGTACATTTGGTTGAGGTCTGGAAGAAGAATACCATAAAACTTAATGTCATTCTACAAAAGTTGAATGCTTTTGATTTTTTGTATATTTCTAAAAAAATTCTGCTTCTATATGTGGCCACCATTGGCATTCAGAAAGCAGAAGGAATGGTGCTTCATAGCTACCTACATTACTCAGTATTAAAGAGCAAATTAGAAGGACAACATAAGGGAGTCAGAGTTTTTATTTGTAATGTCATATGTGAAGCATTTAAATGAAGTACTCGGTTCTGGTTTTGATTTCTCTCTATAGTCAAAACAAATTGTAACATCAGAGCCAGGCCTTTAAACACAACTTTAATCCAGCTCTTTCCCTCCAAAGAGTAATGTGCTAAGACTCAGGGAACTTGGTGATTTTCTTAGGGACATAAGTATGTCAGAATTTATCAGGGTTCATGATTTACAATTCAGTGCCCAGTTAGATTGGATTTTCCTACCACAGGATGCTTCTTTATAGCAATATGTTGTCATCTCTGGAATAAAAAGATCCCGGCTCCTGTAAATGAGCAAGAGTCACTTCCCAGTTAAAAAGATAACCAAGAGAACAGTAATTCAAGCACACTAAGTAGTGTTTTAAAATGTGTCACTGATTGTCTTAAATAGTTATTTGGGTATCTCATTGCAGTCTTTAAAATATTAAATAGTGTATTTATTCAGAACATTCTAGAACTCATAAACTCCAAAAGTATATTTTGGAATACCATCTAATGAAAGCTTACACTTTCTGACAGAAGAGTCACACAGAGAAGTGTGACTCTGAATATTTTCTAGATCCCTATCTGCATATTCTAGGTTAGACCATGAATCAGTTTCTCAAAGCTCTGGCACTGTTGTAAAACTATTGTGCTATGTGCATCCTCACCTCTGGAGTGTTCACCTCTTCTCTCCACCTGAGTTACATTTCATCAGGAACAAGGTGTGCAGAGAAACGCTTGAGTCCAAGTCAATTCACGGCCCCTTCCCCCTCTTGTATAGCATAGGCTGAGGAATTTCATCTTATATCCACACCTTTCAAATCTGTTCTAAATGATGCACATATGGAGGAGAGAGAGAGTATTTTTAGACAGTCTAATACTGGAATCTGTTTCACTGAAATGGTTTGTAAATATTAAAACCTCCTTCAAAAGCAATCTGGAAGCTAAATCTTACACAACTGCTTAGCAAAACATTTTGCCTTCAGCCTTTTAGACTGAGTATGCAATATTAGATTTCTGGACATGAAATGCTGTTTATAAACTTTCCAAGTTGTGGATATATTAGCTGTTGCTGTGAGCTTCTAGTGTTTTCTCAACATTATCTTTTGGATCAACCATGCTATCTTGGGATTCTTTGCAGAGTTTAGAACATTCTCACTCAATTTTTTAGCTTTTTGTTAAATCACATGTGTGGATAATCTAAACAACTGTTCAGTTTTAGCCCTAGTCCATCTATACTGATGGCACAAAAAACTGATTTATTACAATGTGTTGAAGTGGGATTTTTATGACCCACATAAAATTGTTCGAAAGCTTCCATGGTAATGTATTATCTTTGTCTATGCTACTCTTGCTTTTCAATCAAAATTATTGCTTTTCGAGGGAAAAATAATTTTTTTTTGTCTCTGAGATACTTCTGGATTTAATTTTTAGTTTAGTGATTTTTTATTGTTTTGTTTTGCTAATATATTTTAAGAAACACAAGATTTAGATTGATATTCAAGCTAATATATAACAGTCCTTGTATCAGGTTTAAACCTTCCTTACAAAGCCTCCAGAGTCTTACCAAATGAAGCTAAGATTTTATTTCCTAAAATAGCTAAAATAATTAATATATTCCAAATGTGTGAAATCTAAAAATGATTTACAAAATGTATAGTAATTGACATGATCTGTTTTTTTTAAACACAAGTTGAAAAATGATTTGGATTTCACTGAGTTTCAAAGAAGGAGGACATTGGATGAACATGGATCATGCTATCCTGTCACTTCAAAAAGGTTGACTATGATATTCATAATTTTCCTCTTTAAACAACAATGCACTTGCTTTAAGACATAGTAAACATTCTGATGGTGTCAAATTGATTATTTTCTCTCCCTTTCTTCCTTTTTTTCACTGAAGTTAAAATTGTAGACCTTATCTAGTGTATCCAGAATGTAAATGAATGCACAGTGCACATGGTGTCTGTTTTGAGGCTGCAGGGGACTCTTCACTTAAAAGTGGAAGACAACTCATATATCTGATGAGAGTATTTTGGAAGATGACATTTCATTTTCTAAAACCAGACCACAATGTAAGGTGGCAATGGACTGAACATCACAGCTTATAATACAATTTTCACTTTATTTTAAACATAGTTTGCATGTTATAAAAATACTGATCACAGTGAGCTTTACCAATTGTTATTGCTATAAAAATGAATGCAGAACAATATTTTTAGTGGAAATAAATTATATAGTCATTCTTTTTTTTCTTTTTCTTCTTTTCATTTTTAAATCACAAGAGGAAAACCTTGGCTGTCTGGTCACTGGTAGAAAAGCAGTCTTTGAAGAGGCCTTTTTACATGAGTGCCAGGCCATTCCTGCAGCTATCCCCACGGTTCATGAAACACAGTCTTGAGCCTCTGTTACCATGGTCCCACAGAGACTTTCTGTGTATAAACAGTTCTAATGTGGCAACAGTTTTTCAAGACAGTAAGATGATGAAATGAAAATTTGCATGATCTTAGTTCATATGTGGTCTTTTCCAATATGATGGGACACAGCGACACACTTCTTCACTAAATGACAGTCCCGGATCACAATGCCTCAGTCGATTTGTACATGGTCGTCGGTAACAACTAGAAAAACAGAGAGAAACACATATGGTGAAGATGAAGGTAGCGAGTCATGATGCTAAAAATCGGCTTTTATGTATTCTCAAATTTAAACCAAGAAAAATGGCTAATTTTCTTATAAATGTGTTTATAGGTTTGTAAATGTTTACGTGTGTGCTTAGGGTTACAGAACTGTAGAGGAATGGAAAGACCTTTAAAAACATGTCTCACTTGCTGACATGGCCATGGACAGATGGGCTATTGTATTGTTAGCATTAGTTCTTTTGAAGTGCCTTCACTTTGTGGATGAAAGTAACATAAAACAGGAATTTTGAAAGTGAATATTTAAGGTCTGCTGATTTCCTGTGATCACATAATCATGGCAACATTCACAAAAATCTGGGATGTGCATGGGACCCAGACATCCAGGCAATTAATTCCAGCCATCCTGGCAGGACCGTGGTCTTTGGTGAGAAGCCCTATCCAAGCTCTCATGTTTTTACTCCACAGTTGGCTGTGTAATGGTGGGTAACTCTTCCTTCTCCACCTGTGCTCCAGATGGTTGAGGGAAAACATGAACACTTCTCCATCCTTCTCCATCCATATAAGACTTCTAGTTGCTGGGAGTGGTGAAAGGACAAGTTACCCATCATTTCATTTTTGGAAGCTCTGTTTGCTACAGTGAATTGACTCTAGCTTTGAAGAATTTCACGGGAGGTGAGTACACCAGGTGAGCCTCCTGGTGTAATGGGCTGGAAAGGAAAAGTGAAAGTGAATTAAAGAGACCCTTAAACATTTCAAATTTCATCTCACTTGATGTGGAAAGGAAAGAATAGACAATGACTTTTGAAATAAATATTTAAAATGTTAATTTTATTCATTTTATCTTTGACAACTTCATGGGCGTATGTAATGCCTCCGAATTACTTTCTCACCTTTTACTCTCTTATCTCTCTGCCACCCCTAGCAACTCCTACTCCTCCCTACCAGTGCCATTCACACATTCATGACTTTATTGTGGTTTATGAACCATTAGGTTTAATTATGGCCAGCAGAATGATCAGTGGACTGAAAGTATCCATTAGAGCCTGGAGATGGCAAGTCATGAGTGGGTATACAATGGGTGGCAAAAAGTTCTCTCTCCCTGAATGATCAACAACAAATAATTCCAAAGTGAGGGGCTGTGTCCCCTTAGCCTTTCCTCCATCTTGGCCCACATAGGTCTATTCTTGTGTACAGCCAGTATGAACATCTGTAACTACAACGAGCTCATGATTGTGATGGCTGCATTTTCCCCAGAATTCTGTAGCTCTTTACTCTTTCTTTCTAGCTCTTATGTTCTTTTAGTACTCATTTCTGAAATGTTCTCTGAGCCTTAGAGGAGGGTGGTATAAATGTCTTATTATAATTGCATAATGAATATAATTTCTTTATTAGAAAAGCATATGATCCTAAGTGGTCAATGACAGATGATGACTAAGGTAAGACAACAAAATACACTCTGTACTCTCTGCCTTTCTTCATTGAAATAAATATTAAGTGGCATATATATATATATATATATGCATATATATATATTCTCTTTTTTGGGATTTTGGAGCCTATCCTGGCACTTGCTCTGGAGACCAGGCTGGCCTCAAACTCACAGAGATTTTCCTGCCTCTGGGATTAAAGGCATGTGCCACCAACGCCCTGCATATATATTCCCTTTTGCTCCATACGTTTGATGCCATAACCTCTGGAAAGATAAACTTAGAAAAATGGGCACACCTTGAACTGGCTTTTTGAAGACTATTCCATATGGCGGGATGTCTTGGTTAGCCTTGAAGCCTGGGATGGTGTGTAGTAGATAGTGAAGGTTGGGGGTGGCAGGGGGGTTAGTCCTGCCTCAACTGAATTGCCAGGCTTTGTTGACTCCCCATGGGAGGCATTACTCTTTCTGAGGAGTGGACAGGATGGGTTAGGGGGAAGGGAGGAGGGGGGAGGAGGGGAGGAAGAGGAACTGTGGTTGGTATGTAAAATGAATAAAAAAATTTAAAACAAGACAGAAAGAAAAATTGGCACACAAAGAGTTTCAATAAGTATGAAGACTTAGCCTAGGAATATAGTTCAGGGCTGGGAGTATTGCTCCATGACCACTTGCCCAGCACACCAGTTTCAATACCAGAAAAAACAGGAAATCATTTTATGGAAGACTGTATCTTTTTAAGCCAAGGTATAAGGATGTAAATATAATCTACACAGCTAAACACAATTTTCTGTAGAATATTATGATGTCTGGCTAGTCTATATGCAGTCTCGAAGAATTCAAATTTGGCAATGTGTACTAGATTCGTTGAAAAAATGCTTCAATGTAGAACATTGCTAAATCAGATTTGCTGAACTGGAATAGCTGTATTCTTTTTGATATGATATTTTCTATTGTATTTTGGAAATATCCTTTGGTAAGCAGAATATAAATATGCAAGTAAAATTGGAAAATGTCTATTATTCAAAATGGTTTTTAAAAAAAAAATAAGTATTAAAATTCTTGCAAGGAACTCTGCAACAATGCAGGAGGAAAAAGTATAGTCAGTGCAATACCTGGACTTAGTGGTGTCCCATTATGCAGTAAGTACAACTGACAGATCTTCAGAATTTTAAGTTAAAATGAAAACACAAACTCTTGAGATTCAAAAGATAGGCTCTACTAACTCACGTACAAGATAAATGATAAACAGTTATGAGGCTACAACATTAAAAATAAAAAGATAATGCCTTTTATTTTAGATGTTGAAAGGATATTGTCTGCCCATATTTAAATGGTGGATGGAAGAAGATATTCAATAAAAGAGAAAATTTAATGAAAATCAGGACTCTAAAATCTCATGTGCTATGGCAAGAGGATAGAACTAGAAAAATGGTAACATTAAAGACACAATAGTTCTCAACTTATGGATTGTGACCCCTAAGAGGGGGTTGAATGACCCTTTCAGGGGTATTTGCATTATGAATCATACCAGTAGAAAAATTAGTAATAAAATATCAACAAAAATTATATAGTTGGAGTCACCACAACATGAGGAACTGTATTAAAGGGTGGCAGGATTAGGAAGGCCAAGAACCATTGCTCTAGATAAATATGATGTTCTCTACTGGATCTAGCAACTCAGAAGCTAAAACACAGTTTAACACAGAGACCTCTGCCAGGCTATTTATTGTCCCTGGAGATGGAAGAGGGGAGAAAGCCAACGCCATAGGGCGTGGACCAACTCTGAAAAAACATCATGGAAGGTTCTCAGCATCAAAGTAAGAGGATAATAAAGCAGAAGAAATCTGTAATTTTCATAAACTGAGGGAGAAGGAAGACAGAGCTGAAAATACTGAAGTAACTTTAAGCAGATGCATGGCTACTGGATGGACACTGAAGGAAAACAACAAAATCATCTAAAACAGAGATCCAGATTAAACAGTAGTCATCTAATTTTTTGAGATGAAAGAGATAGAAATTCAGACATAAATATGGAAAGTCTTTGAGTCCAAGAACCTCGTTTATAAGCCGGGCGTTGGTGGCACACACCTTTAATCCCAGCACTCAGGAGGCAGAGGTAGGAGGATCTCTGTGAGTTCGAGGCCAGCCTGGTCTCCAGAGTGAGTGCCAGGATAGGCTCCAAAGCTACACAGAGAAACCCTGTCTCAAAAAAACAAACCAAAAAACAAAAAAAGAACCTCATTTATTTTTTGTTGATGAAAAGTGGGTATTATTCTTGATGAAAAGGATAACAAAACCATGCTGTAAAGAATGAGTGATGATGCAGGAAAGATTTCTCAATGGTTGGCTACTTGCTGCTCCTTCAGAGAAGCCAGAATCAGCACCCAGAAGACACATTAATAACTTACAACTGTCTAACTCATTTCCAGGGATTCAAGGTCATCCTCTTTGAGCACCAGGCACACACATTGTGCACAGACATACATATAGGCAAAACACCCCTACATGTAAACTACAATAACATTTCAAAAACAACTCTTGGGTAACTTTCAGTGATTATTGTTTTTAATTTTTAATTATGTGTTATATTTGTGTTTGTCTCTGAGTGGATGCACATAGCTACAGGTAATCATAGATCATAGAAGAGAGTGTTGGATCTCCTAGGGCTGGAGTTAAAGGCAGTTGTGAACTGACTGAAGTCGATGCTGGAAACGAAACTCAGATTTTCTGAAGGAGTACCATGTGTTCTCAACCACTGAGTCAGCTTTCCAATTGTTTAAGTAACCTTTAACAGCACTTTAATTTATTGTCGTGGTTAGCTTTTGACCTGACTCAAATCTAGATGCATCTGAGAGGAGTGAAGCTCAGCTAAGGAACTGAGTAGTTCAGACTGGCCTATGCCCACATCTGTGAGACATTACTTAATTGCTAATTGAAGTAGGAGCATCCCACTGTGAATGCTACCATTCCTAGACAGGTAGACTTTGGCCCTGCGGGCAAGTGTGGGATCAGTGTTATGTAAAGTGTTCCTCCAGGTTTCCTTCAGTTTCTGCCTCCAGTTTCTGCTTTGTCTTTCCTTGCTTATGGAGGGCAACCTGGAAGTCAAATAAACCCTTACTTCCCCAAGTTGCTTTTGGGTATGGTATCAGAACAGCAATATCACAGCAACAGAAAGCAAGCTAGAACATTTATCTAGGTCTCATTAATAATTGAGTACAAATGCTTCTTTTTCAGATAACATTCTGAATATACTACTGTGTTTTATTTTTAAGCTTTAAAATGATGCATTGGAGATATTTGATACTAAATTACATCTGGAAGTATAGTCTTTGGAGGCATCAGACATAGACTGCTGAATGCATTTCTAAAATAATATGTACATCCTCTTTTAAATAAAAAAAATCATTTGTTCATAGATGGTTGGATGAATATCAGGGTCTTCAGTTAGGTTTCATGGTCTACCTGTCTATTTCTGTACCAATACCAAGCTTTTTTATTACTAAAACATTGTAGTAGAGCTTGAAGTGAGAGATGGTGATGTCTTGGAAGTTACTTTATTGTACAGGATTTTTTTTGTCTAACATGTTTTTTTTCAGTATATAAAGTTGAGTATTGTTCGTTCAAGTTCTATAAAAAATTGTGCTGGGATTTCAATGGGGATTGTATTAAATCTGTAGTTTGCTTTAGGTAAGACTGCCATTTTTCCTATGTTCATCTTATCTAACCAAGACAATGGGAGACCTTTCCATATTCCGATATCTTCCATATTTTCTTAGAAGAATTAAATTCTTACCATAAAAAAAGGAATTTATACAGGACTCTGATATATTAGTCTCTATGGCAAAATTTTGTTTTGAGTATATTTGTTTATGCATCTTGATGTGCCTGTGTTGCTTTTGGGGTTATTAAGTCTCAAAGACCAAATTTGCTGATGTAACCATGAAATTCCTCTGTTCTGTAAACTGAGCCAGGAGGATGGTAAGTTCTAAGTCAGCCTGGCTATATAATATAACAAGTCATTCTCAAAGCTAAAGCTTACAAAACTATAGTGTCAAGAAAGAATAGCATTGATTTCAATAATGTATTTTTTTCATTAGAGGATTTAATGGCTTCATTCTAACAAGCAGCTACTAGTTTGGGTTGAGAAAACAGATCCTGGTTGAGAACGCTGTGTTCTGGAAGTGAATTAGCACTGTTTACATAGACTCCTTACCTGCATGTTTGATGGTGGAATTTCTTCCCTTTTAGAAAGCACTTCTCTGTGTTTTCTGTACATTCACAGGCACATTTTCCAGGATTCAGGGGTCGGTTTCTAGGACAGGTTCTTTTACATACACACTGGCAAGTGTTTTCATCAAATTCTCTGTTGGCTCCACATGAGCTGGGGAAAAGTTTGTTTTTACAGACACACTGACATGAGTTTCTGTCTAGTTCTTTGTGGGGTCCACAGCTGGATGGCCTAAGCCCCCCTTTGCAGACACACTGACAGGTGTCTTCATCCAGCTCCTTGTTGGGTCCACAGACATCATGGAATCCATTGGTAGAGTCTAGAAAAACATAAGACATATTTACTGGACCTTACTTGTCTCAGGATGTGGTAGAACATACACACATTGAAAACATCTTCCCTTTTAACTTTCCACCAAAGTAATGTAAATGTGCCTTTATATAGAAGTTAGAAGTAAAAGGAGAAGAAGTAGCTAATATCCTACTTTATACTCATTTCAATGAATGATTGAGAGAATATTGAGAGAATTTAATATAAAAGTATATTAATCAAACTACATTAATTTTAATCTATATAGATCAGATCAGATATACAATGAAGTGTTTTTTTAACTCACCATCCTCAGGGTTTGAATAAAAGATAAAATCCTGTTGAGCCAGGCATCGGCACATGTAGTTATTCCACACATAGTTTGCTGGACAAGTTTTGTTGGCTGCTTGACACCTTTGGGAGAGAGAAATTGAAAATAAGCTGAACAGCAATATAACTGGCATATAGTAGTTCATTTATTTTAATGTGCATGTCCCAAATAAAAACAGGTTTTCAGGAAAGCTTGTAAATATGTAAGAATAGAGGAGATGAACCAACAGGGTATCCTCTCAGACTACTCCCACCTCACCTCATGCCAGGTTTTAATCTCAGGTTGCCTTATCAGTTATAAGGTCTAAGAGGACTCTTGACTTAACCTTTTTAAAAGAAAGTAGGCTTCTTTGTATAATTACATACTATTTTAACTTACTAAAAAAATGTGATGATGCCTTCTATATTACCTTGTAATTCCCTGTACCAAATAAAAGATGTATTTGAAGCAACTATAGAGGTCATTTGATAATGTTTCTCTGAATGACTTTTAGTGGCTGTACAAAATTTCATGAAAAGATGTAATATGGTTTACTTCTTACAATAACTATTTAGGTGGCTTTCAGCTTTTGCCTCACAAATACTACTGCAGCTATGTTGGCATTCACATTTACTGTCTTATTCCTGAAGCTTAGATCCCATTGCTCTAATATCTCTTGACCAATGAATAATTTCCACTTTCCATTCCACCAAAACTATCCAAGAGCATGTTTCAATGTAATTTTGTTTTTGTGGCCATCTCCTTACTCTTTTTTTTCTTCTTACCTGCTTTTCCTTCCTCCCTACCTCTTTTCAATGTTTATAGTCTGTTTTAGAAAAAATGTATGAACAAATGGTCTTCATTCAAGGATGTAAATTACTTCTTGGATGTTCTAATCACCTTGCTCTAACAGGAACCCATTCATATTAGTGATTACAATATTGGGCATTTCCCGGTGATAAACTCAAGTTACTCACTGCCTCCACCTAGATTACTACTACTTTGGAAAATGGCATTTAGAAGCTATCATCTGGGGATTGTTTTTGTGCCGTTAGATTGAGTTTCTTCTAGATCTTCTGAGTCTCATGTAGATATATTCTGTTTTCCTGACTAATGTCTATTCCTGGATTTGAATATTCTAATTTAGATAGCATGCATTAACTTTTAGTACTTGACTTGTCAACAGACATTGGTGTGGGCATCAAAGGGAAATATTTATTGGATATCACACATCATTCATTTTCAAGCAACGTTATAAATAATGGTATGTGGTGGAAGACTGCTGAATGAATTCCAAAAGCTTACAACACAGACTTTGAAAGTGTACTGAGTGCAAACAAATAAGCCATGTGCTTTGGATGCTGCTAAGAAAAGTTCCATAGATCAAACAGTGTGATAAAACACTCTCAACAACAGCCTAAGAACTACTATGAATCTATACAAACATCTTGTTTGGGGGTTTTCTTTTTACAGAAAAAGCAATTCTGAATTGTGTTGATATGGAAGCAGGCCCTCATTATGCAGTGTGAGCTTGCTTTGGACTTCTGATCTTGGCCTCCCTAGTACTGGGATCACAGACACACATCTTTATGCCTATCTTCTAAATATGTATCCTATAACCATGTCTACCATCATTTGAGCATCACTTCTGATCATTTACCAGTGTTTTCTTTTCCAGAAGTCTACACCAACTCTAAGGAAGGGTCTATTCATCCTGTTCAATATGACAGCTTGTCTAAAACATCACATATGTTTCAGCCACATCATCACCTTTGGCAACTTCCATTGATGATTTTAACTTAGATAATTATTCCTTTCTTTACTTTTCTCAAGGGTCATGCATGGCTCCTTTAGGTTGGTGGGGGAGTCTATTTCTTGATTTAGTTTGACTTTTTCTCACCATGTTATTTGCTATGCCATGGAACTACAGCCTCTCATGGAGCATGCAAAGAATCTAGGTGATAACCTAAAAGTATGTGCTAATAGCAGTGATAATTGTTGGATGTTCATAAAACTGTTAAGCATCCTAGCTATCAAAATCGTTTTATTTCTTTGAGTACAGACACTGTAATTCATGATAATTCCTCAGCAATAAGCTATGCTTGTGGGTTAACTACAATTCACTGATTTTTTTCATTTAAAATAGTATTAAAAATGCTTGCCATATACATTCTGTGAAATAAATAAGTAATCTTAAGCAAGATAATTAATTATGTATGCATTTTAGGCAAAAGAAGAGCAGTTATGTCAAAAAATAACACAGGATAGCTAGGACTTTGAGTCCTTATGTTTGACTTCATACTAACAAATTCCAGTAAAATATTTATTCTCCAACAATCTTTATACAAATAGCTTCCTGCTTTATCCAATGAATAATACATCCTTTTGTTTTTAATCTTAAAGATGTAACATATTTACTTATGTGATAATGAGTTAAGACTATGAGAAGTGTATGTTAATTATGCTCCATATCCCTAGTGTGCTATTATTTTTCTTAGTAGTTTTGTTTAGATATTTCAGTATTTCTTCTTGGAAAACAACCAAAAGCAAAAATCAGCAACAAGGCAACATTATTAAACCTTGTTTGTTCATTTACCATTTCCTGGAACATTCCATACTCTCCTAAAAAATTCAGTGAATTCTAAGGGGCAATCTCTCCCCACTATATTATTCTGCCATTATGGAAATTTGAAGCAGGGGTTCCTATAAGTCACAGATATCTGGATACTTGGTATCTATTTTTGGATTGTGGGAAACATGTCTGTGGCTTGCTAGAGGAAGTGTCACTGCAGGCAGATATTGAAGTTTCAGAAGACTGATGCCATTTTGACTTAACTTTTGATTCCTGCATGCAGATCATGCTCTTAGCTATGGCTCTAGAACCATGCTTCAATGACTCCAGACATGATGGTAAGGAACTACTATTTCTTTACATCATAAACCCTCAAATCAATGCCTTTTTAAAAATTGTTGTCTTGGTTATGGCATTTTATCATAGAAATAGAAAAGTAACTAATACAGTCATTTTATTTTATAGTTTAATCATGAATAAATATGCATTGTGCAGAAGTTTACATAGTACTTACCAATTTTCTAAACAAACATCAATAATTTTATGTATATTCTATTCAAACTTTAGTATCCTGCTGCAAGATAATCTTTATTTACCCTTCTGTGTGTGGTGACAGCATTTATTGGTTATAGGTGAACACATATTGCTATGATGACAGTAGAAAGCATTTTGTTTTCATTTTGGCAATATGGGATTTATCCTACATTTGTCTGATGCAGTGTTTTTCTAGCTGTTGGGTACAGCTAATATATGGAACATGAAATCAATTAAAGACTCAAACACACATGAATTCCAACATCTAAGATGCTAAGGAAGATATATCAGGAATTCAAGGTCATTATCCTGCACTATATAATAATTTTGAGGCTAGCCTGTACTATGTGATAAAGCTACACACACACACACACACACACACACACACACACACACACACAAATAAATACATTTTTTGTTGTTAAAGGCATAGGAATATATTCCCTAATGTGATGGAATGGCATTCAATATTCATAAAAGTCTACCAGAGTGAGGATAATAACCACAATTGTCTTTCAGTTATACATAGACACCAGCATGCACTAATATGCTCACAGAAAGTCTTAGACACAGGTCTTCTCACCCACCTGTGGTATGTGTATATTTGGTTGTAGTTATCTTTATTTGTTTTTGTACAGTCTAAATTTTTGACAAAACAAAGATCTAAGATATTCAAATGGTGAAGTTACAGGAGTCCTCTCAGTTTCTAGCCCTCCAGGTACTGGAGAATGAAGGCTCTTTCCTTACAGGGAGCTTGGTAAGGTTTATGCCATGTTTATGTATGTCTACCCAGGCAAGTCTCTACCCTTAGTAAGTAAGAAAAAAAACCTTTTCTTTCTTTTCCATTGAGTTTTCTTTTTCATGGTACACCATTTTCAAAAATATATATTTAAATATATGTACTTTATGTGTATACACAATTGCATGAATTTACTTTGGGACCATTATACAAACATCCAGATATGTATTTTGATATGTAGTAAATGCAGAGTTCACATAATTTGATTGTGTGACCTATTATTTTTTCTTTTTCACACTCATTTTGAACAAAAAAGTTCTGGCAAACACTTTCAATTATATTATACCTGCAACATTCTTGACAACATGAACTTCAAAACAGTTAGTAATGGTTTGCTTAAAGGGAAGTAAATATTTTGAATACTAATAGTCTTAAAACACAATCTAAAAATTTAAAATATATGAGAAGTTTCATACAAATAATAAAATATCACTCACCATAAACATATTTTAATGCTGAAACCTGAAATTATGCTAGATATTGTTGAATTAAAGAAACCAGCATTTGGATAAATACATTTTTTAACTCCTAAATGACACTGCTTCTTTCAGATGCAAGAAGCAAAATCAGAGGATTTATAGCACACTATTCTAAAAGATGAGGTGGAAACAAAAATTTTAAATGTTATTATATTATAATGAAAGAAAGTATTAGAATAAACAGATTAGCACAATGCTTACTGCCTTTATGTTTCGATCTTCAAAGCAGTTTCATACAGTTGAAAGTGATATTCAAAAGTAATGAATGATTAATGTGCATAGATATATATATATATATATATATATATATATATATATACACATTTGGATTATAATATATAAATAAAACATTTCATTTACAAAGCATATTACTTGAAGCATACTCTTTCTGCAAGGTATAGAGTAATTTTTCAAGTAGATCTCTGTTGGGAACCATGTAAGCAAATAAACTTTCTTACCTTCCCCTTTAAACAGTACTTGCAACTTTTATGAATGATAGTTACTTTTCTAAGAATTATTTCATTGGTTGAAAACTTTGCTTGACAGATTTGCTAGCCATTGGTTTTGCTGTTTGAAATAAGTGGCCATGAATTCAACATTCTCTTCATCTCTCAATGGAAAAAAATGATATATTCAATGATAAAGTCAATATTATTAGTCTGTTTACATCTCTGAAAATTTAGAAAGAAGTATGCATTCTGGGTAGAGTAAATTCTAAAT